AACAGAATGATTTTCATTTACACATTTAGTAGGCATACCACTTTCATGAATTGTGGCAAGCACACAAATTACATGAAAAATTATAAGAATATAAAGGTATACTGTACTTTTCCCATGCCATGCTACATGTTTGTGCAACCGTGAAACTGATGATATATCTACCGCAAATTTTTTGATTATTCACAAAGGAAGGTAAGAGTATTAATCAGTTTTTATCAAACCAGTCTCAGAAAACTCTCAGTAAGTAGGCTATCAAGTAAATTGAACGGTCCCTAAACCCAGACAGACAGAACTGAGCGCAGTTCATTTTCATAGAAGATAAAATGGTAAGAGACTAAAATCTTGATGAATATATTAAGTGTCTGTTCAGGTTTTAGATTAAAGGATTAGCCAGTATGACTTAATTTGAAATATTTCATTCTTTATTGTTACTTTGCCTTTTTTAGAATAGGAATATTGTCTACACTATGAAATAAAACGAAGTATATGAGAATGATGTAGTTTAATCTATTAAAAATAATACATACAGTAATTCACACATGCTGCAATATGTCCAAACTTCTGACTGGTAGTCAGTTGTTTGAATTCAAGTTATTTTGTACACGTCTGTTTAAAATGCTGTTTCTAATAATATTAATAATAACATCTCCCACCCCACAGTTGGCAGTCAAACATCTTAAACATGGAAACTACTACTCCAGATTTCATATACCCAGATTTGGTGACTCACTGCCCCGAAAGCATGCAGTATATGAACAGCACGGCTTTGGTCTTAGTTTACATCATAGTCTTCTGTCTGAGCTTGTCGGGCAACACGGTGGTGATCTTCGTGGTGAGCTGCATGGAGAACCGCAGGACATCTACTGACGTTTACCTGATGCACCTGGCCATCGCCGACCTGTTCTTTGCCTTGACTCTCCCATTCTGGGCCACTTACCTTCACGCCGGCCACTGGATATTCGGCACAATCATGTGCAAACTGATTTCAGGCTTGCAGGAAGCCACATTTTACTGCTGCGTCTTCCTGCTGGCATGCATTAGTGTTGATTGCTACCTGGCCATCGTGAAAGCAACCCAATTCCTCACCCAAAAACACCATCTGGTTGGTATAGTGTGTGCGTTGGTGTGGCTATGTGGCTTTTTGTTGTCCCTGCCCATTATGGTGAATCGCGAGGCGTTTAAGTCTGGATATATGGAGGAGTATATATGCCATGACAATTTGACCGCAGAAAGCATTGATAGCTGGAGGATAAGTTTGCGGATTCTCCACCACAGTTTAGGATTCTTCCTGCCATTAGCCGTCATGATGTTCTGCTACGGTTTCACCATGCGCACGCTTTGCCGCACACGCAACAGCCAAAAGCAGAAGGCCATGCAGGTCAAGTGCGTCATGTTGTTTTTTATTGTCTGATGGCTGCCCAATAATATCCTAGAGTTCATAGACACCCTGATGCGAGGCGGCTGGGTGATGGAAACGTTTGAGCTGAGGGACAGCATAGATGTGGCCTTGTACGTCACACAGGCAATGGCTTTCTCTCACTTTGCAATAAACCCTATCCTGTATGCCTTTAGAAAAAGGAAAAAGAAATTCCGCAACCAGCTTCTGACGTCTTTCTTTAAGAAAGGCCTGTTGGGGAGAGAAATGTTGTTGAAATATCGAGTGGAATCTGTCAATAGCTCTGGGAGCACTAGGCAAATGTTCAGAAGTCCACCTCCTTCTCCTCAACCAGGGGCTTTGATCCCTCGAGGACCAGACCAGTGAGTTTTTAGATCTTGCTCACCAAACCCTCTACCCATCAGTGGTCTTTGTATTCACATCCTCCGAGGCCAGGTCTCGGCCCACTGACCCTTCGGCTCCACCATAATCTTTTATCTTTTCAGCTTCAACGGGGTCTCTTGTCCTCCTGGCTCCTGTTACTAGTTTAGTTCCTCATTTTGGTCTGTGTATTTGCACCCCATTTAGTTGTTTATTTGAAATATATTTTTTTTGTAACATTATAAATGTTTTTGCTGTAACCTTTGATAAATCTAATGCATCCTTGCTAAATAGCATTAATTTCTTTTAAAAAATCTTACTGACCCTAAACGGTATGTAAAATTTTATTTGTTGCCTCCATTTGTTTCAGGGCATGTTATTTTCCTCTTACTTTAAAAAATGTAAAAAGCAAATTATTGTGTGTTGATTCTGCTTCACAGGTGCAAATAAAGTTCCTTCAGAAAAAAAAGTTTTCTCATACTTGTACATTAACGTCTGTTGAGAAATCAGTCTGCTCTGGGTCAGGCAATGCCACGATTTCACGAATGTCTCCACTTCTCTGACAAAACAGGAAAAATAACAGAGAGAAGTGAGGCATCTTGGTTTCCTCCTTCACAGGGCAAACAGACATGCAAAATAAAGTTACACTTTATATGCCACTAAAGAAAGTGTGTAAAAGTGTTATTAAATTATATTCTTTAAATTATATTGAAAATATATTAATCTTTTATTTTATCTTTTATTTTTTAATTTAAGAATTATTTTTAACCAAGGATTTGTTCATATATAATTTCCTGATTTTTGTAAGGTTTTGTTTAAAAAAAAAAAAGGAAATATGCTGTGCTCAAGCTCAGATACCTGATAAGACATCATAAGACACTTGCATGAATATGATATTTTTAAAGGGCTAAAGTTAGCAGCTGTTCACATGAGGATGCCAACTCGAAATATGTTAAGATGATATTAATTGTAACATTACAGTTTCAGTTTCTGTAATTTTATGAAAGGATGGAGTGTTTTCAATTCACACAACCCAACTAACAGCACAAAGCATTGCAGAAATTGTTGCTGATATTTGTATTAGTAGGCTATGTTTTTATTATATTCCAAATTCAGCAACTGAAAATGTTATCTGAAACTTGAATTTGTGCTGAACTACATTATCAAAGTGAACTACAAAGGGAATAAGGAGTCATTTCAGGCATGGTTAGTAGCAACAACAAAACGCTTTTTTTTTTTGTTTACTAGGTCTATTTTAAAAAATATATTTAAAAATTAAAGCTGCAAGCAGTGATGAAAGGGGCCTCGCACCCGGGCTCACTCGGCTTTAGGAAAACAGCAAACGGTGGCAATATGCATTTAAAGTAGTAAATATAGGAGGAATATGTCAAAGTCATTTATATGTGCCAAACTTCCTGCTGCCAGCTGGTGGCGCTATGATTATAATGGAATGTTGGCATGTAGATGACATGAACGCCACCACAAAGTCGTTATTACAAGTGGGAAACTCAAAATTTTCTTTAAGCCCAGAGTTTCCGAGTTGGGGGCGTGTCAGTGAGAAACATGGCGGAATCGATGGATGCAACGTCTGTAGTTGACGGTAAATTTTTGTTTAAATTGATAGTTCAGTTGTCCTATAAACTTAAATTGTGTATTTTCTTGTAATTTATTCAAAGAAGGTACACCGTCATCTTGTGCCGACTAAACTGACTCGAACGCACCTGACGTCGTAATTACGACTTGCCAACTCGTAAGTACGAACGTCCCAGGAGGACTTGAAAGCAGCAGTAGATAAACGGATTTGAGTGATAAATAATCAATGTCTAACCTGTCACTGTTAATAAGTGAGTCATTGCAATTGAACCGAATCATTTAAACGGTTGATTCATTCAGGAACGAAACAACGTCATGTTGCTCAGAGACGCAAAACTGTGCTGTGGCTGTATTTGGAATGTTTTTTTGTTGTTGTTGTTGTTGATGTTGGCGAAATAGCGCAGAAATAGCGCGAAAACAGCCAATATGGTGTCTAAAACGTAAGTCTCTTGATATTAACTTATTGTTTATTGAACTGTTGTATAAAATCAATATCACATTTGTAACCATGCTGATTTTTAAAGAAAAAACGGCACTCTTCGTGTGATATTGATTAACTATATTAATTGATATAAATATATACATTTTCTGCCCCCTTATCTTGATTTATGTGATCATTCTAATGCATATTAATAGACTGAATTATGCAGTGAAAGAACCATGTTAAATGCGCACGCGCACTAAAGCCTGGGTTTGTGTAACCAGACTTCATGAGGTCGCGTATGCGTGCCTCTGTAGGTGTGTTTTGTTTGGTTTTTGCAATATACTCGATAATGTCATGATGTCTCACGAGTTCAGTAGGCCTATTTGCGCTAAACCTGCGCAGTTTTGGCTTGCATGAACTTCCCCAAGAAATGAATGAGTGAACATAACTTATGAAAAGTAACCCGCCAAATTGGCTAGTGATTTGACAGCGTTACCCGGGTGGCGGGTGTTAATTTCAAACCCTGGTTATGATCTATATGACCTTATTATTTTTATTGTGAGTATTAGGCTTATCATTATTGCTGATCACTGTTGCTGTGCTATGTTATTGTAATATTTACCATTATATAATCAGAGGAGTACAGAAAAGTTTTTGAAAGTGTCACTCCACAATACAACAGCAAAATATATAAATATGTATAGTATTTTTATGTTACATTATTAATCAGTGTCTAGCACACCTTCCAGAGGAAAGGATGGACCAGACGACACTGCAATTACTAAATGATATTTAGACCGACTTAAAGAAGTTCCAGATCTATACTTGTGCTCTTATTATTTCAGTTATTTTGCCTTTAATGTAAATAAACATGTGCAAACAATATACTTGCTCTTGTGAATTTATTTTGATGTTATGCAAGCTGTCTCTTTAATACCGCGTGGTTTACATGTTGCTGCTGATCGGGCTGACATTTTTGACACACCCACCAAACAAGAGAAAACGTATCTCAAACCCCGTTGCAGACCGTTGCACACCGTTTCCAGGAAACATGTCGTTCAAACCGGAAACCGTAGCAAAACGTTGCGCAACGGTTTGAGCTTGAACTTGCCCCAGTATTCTTACCATGCTTTGGAGAAACGCAGCTCAGATCATAATAATGACTGTGCGCCATGGCAGTAATCAGCCAGCAGATGGCGCTAATACTCTCAGCTGACAAGATCAGCTTGCAGAAATAGAAGAAGAAGAAGAAATAGAAAACACATGCAAGTGCGCTACATGTTTTCATATTTGATTCTACTTGAAGAAAGTCACTATATCACCAGATGTCTCAAGATCGGTCGTGACATTATGATCATTAGGCGTTTCAGTTAAGAGAGAATCAGTCGACGTTTCTCATCAGTTAACATTACTTTGACCTACAGAAACACAGGATCACTTGATCATCTGATGTAGATATGAAGCTCAAAGAGCTAGAAAGCTGCCTTCAGCAGGTGGATGGATTTGAGGAGCCCAAAATACAGCTGGAGCAGTACCCCACCAGTCCGCATATAGCGGGTGAGCATTATATAGCACCTTCATAGACTTAATTATGATACTGCTAACTAATGTCAGATGTTTTTGCGAATTTCTGGATGTGGTCTGCTTATGTATTCGCATTAGCATACTTGTATACTATTCCTGTAGTTAGTATATACTGTGCGCAGTATGCAAATGTTCTGTATTCATATCTGAAATACTGCGTTAGGTTACTGTATCCCACAATGCACCACGCTTGTCTTGACGTTTCATTTGTAGTGTGACAAATGATCAGTAACTAACTATATTTTTCTTTGCTCGTTTTTTTAAATTGGTTTAAGTTGTTTTAAAACATTTGACATAAAATTGTGTTAACAATAGAAAAGTAACTGTTTGATGCAAAATTACAACTGGAAGCCTGTTTATGCCACAGAATTTTAAACATGTAATTGTGACTTTTTATCTCTCAATTCGGACTTTATTTCTCACATTTCTGAATTTATATCTCACAATTTTGAATAAAAAACCTTGCAGTTCTGACTTTTTGTCTCAAGAGTTGCGTGTTTATCTCATAATTCAGACGTTTTTCCCGCAGAATTGCGAAATTGTAACAATTCTGACTTTATATAAAAATATATATTTCCTACAGTTAAGCTCAAATCTCACAATTCTAACTTTTTTCTCAGAATTGCACATTTATAACGAAATTTTGACATTATTTCTCGCAATTTTGAGTTTGCTCACTTTTTATATTTAACTTGCAATTGTGCAAAATAAAGTCAGAATTGTTGTAAACTCGCAATTCTGAAATGAACTCAAAATTACGAGAAATAAAGTAGATTTTTGAGAGAAAAAGTTTTCATCTTTATATTTTTATTTTGTGGCACAAAAAGGTTCACTGTAGCCACTTACTGAATTAAATATGCATATAATGAGGTCATGTGAAACAATGTGACATACTGGTTGAAAACTGTTTACCACTGCATAATGTATATTGCATACTGTTTAAATATGCTGTTTAAATATACTAAAAACTAAAAATATACTGTTTAAAATAGTAGGCATTATACATTTTAGAAATTGTGTATGAATATTTAATTCATCATTTTATTGAACATTTGGGAGTCTTTTGTCTGGGACAGATGGCCTTGAGTGCCCTGTTTTTTCTTAAAGGGATAGTTCACCCAAAAATGAAAATTCTGTCATTAATTACTCACCCTCATGTCGTTTCAAACCCGTAAGACCTTCGTTCATCTTCGGAACACAAATTAAGATATTTTTGATGGAATCTGAGAGCTGTCTGACCCTGCATAGACAGCAACGCAACTGAAATGTTCCCAAGTCCAGAAACGTAGCAAGGAGATCTGTAAAATAATCCATGTGACATCAGTGGTTCATCCGCAATTATACGAAGCTACGAGAATACTTTTTGTGCACAAAAGAAAAAAACCAAACAAATTTATTTAACAATTCATCTCCTCCGCATCACCCTGGTGCCATTTTGGAGAAATGGTGGTCTGCGTCACGCCGGATCTGTTTCCAATGTTGTTGTGATTGATCTGAACGAAAACAGTGTATCTGTGTGATGCAGCTGACACAGAACAGCATACGCTGTTTACATCCAGCGGATATTCTCCAAAATGGCACCAGGGTGATGCGGAGGAGACGAATTGTTTTGAATTTTTTTTTTTTTTTTTGCGCACAAAAAGTATTCTCGTAGCTTCGTATAATTGCGGATGAACCACTGATGTCACATGGATTATTTTACAGATCTCCTTGCTACGTTTCTGGACTTGGGAACATTTCAGTTGCGTTGCTGTCTATGCAGGGTCAGACAGCTCTCAGATTCCATCAAAAATATCTTAATTTGTGTTCCGAAGATGAACGAAGGTCTTACGGGTTTGAAACGACATGAGGGTGAGTAATTAATGACAGAATTTTCATTTTTGGGTGAACTAACCCTTTAACATACATAATTTATTATGGCATAAGACACCATCCAGTTGTTCTATGTGTTCTCACTCACTGTAGGCTGTATGTTGTACACCATCCACAACACATTTGATGACATACAGAATAAACTAGTTGCAGACTTGGGCTGTGGATGTGGGGTTCTGTCTGTAGGAGCTGCAGTGCTTGATGCTGGGTAAGACCAACTCCATCCTTCCATCCATGGCCTAGAATTACTCTAGTTTTTAAAATATATCTACATAACTGCAGTCTTTCCTCTTAAGACTGTGTGTCGGATTTGACATTGATGAAGACGCCTTGGACATATTCAAAGGAAATGTTGAGAATTTTGAACTGTCAAACATTGACACGGTCCAGTGTGATGTTTGCTCTATTGGATCCTCTTACGCCAAGAAGTTTGACACGGTCATCATGAACCCGCCATTTGGCACGAAGCACAACCAGGGTAAGAGTCATCTTAAAGTCAAACAGCAGTGATGTTGACATAATCTGATGCATTTGCAAAACTGCCGGAATAATACCTGTTGTCGAACAGGTTTCCCATATTCCATTGGTTGATCTTGATTCATGTTACTATATACATATCTTACATTTTAGGTATTGACATGCAGTTCCTGCGGACAGCGATTTCCATGGCAAGTACAGCAGTGTATTCCCTTCACAAGACCTCGACAAGAGATGTAAGTTGCCATATTACGTCATCATTTCACAGCTACATTTCAGCTATATTCATAAGAAAAACTTACAATTGAATTGCATTTTCATGCAGCACATTCAGAAGAAAGCAAATGATTGGAAAGTGAAAATGGAAGTCATTGCAGGTAATATTTAGTGAATCTATTGACATACACTATAGTTCAAAAGATTGGGAAAAAAATATTAAAAAAGACACATATTAAAGGCACAATATGTACGTTTTGGCCGCTAGAGGGCACATTTTCAAAACAAACAAAGGCGTAGTTTGATGACGCCGTTACTGAGTGTGGAATCATGGAAGTTGTCGTCTTCATCCCCACAGCCGACGCAATCCGACGGGACTCGGGCAGAAATCATGTTCATGGATGAGCTAATGTATTAAAGATTTATTAATGTCGTAGTATGAAGCAGGGTGAGGCTGAAAGCCGTCGAAGCGAAACGAGGCCGCTGAAGCAATTGCTAATGAGAGACAAGCGCGACACACGGCTCGAAAGCAGCGGAGCTTTTATTATGCCACAGTTTAGCGCTTCTGCTCCTTCCGGTCGTGTGTATGTGGGATAAAGCAGCGCGGTATTATCATACTAGATACATTTGAAAGTTCTGTTATAATGCTACTCTGTGCGGTCGTCACTGGTCTATTACAACGCATAACATATTAAAGCGTCTTTGGTGTTTCCATGTTTTCTACAAAACAAAACCAGAAATCGAGGGTGTATGACGTCATTGGCAGGCGACACAATGACACTATAGACACGGTCCGTGTCACTAGTTAAAATTGCTTATTTCTCTGGATTTAAACATTCTTCGATACAGTTGGGATAATGTAAGAACACAAGTCAGCAAAATATATAACACTGTTCTAGTGGTTTTTGGATATTTTACAAAAAAAATCTTACGTATTGTGCCTTTAAAATAGTCAAAAGTAACAACAAAGACATTTATAATGTTAAAAGATTTCTATTTCAAAACAAATGTTCTTTTGAGTTTTTATTGATCAGAGAATCCTGAAAAAAAATGTTTCCACAAAAACGGTTTCCTGCATTGATAATAATAAATGTTTCCTGAGCTGCAAATCAGCGTATTAGAATCATTTCTGAAGATCTTGTGACACAGAAGACTGGAGTAACGATGCTGAAAATTCAGCTTTGCATCACAGAAATAAATGACGTTTTTAAAAAATATTCAAATAGAAAGCAGTTCTATTAAATTGTAATATTTCACAATATTTATGTTTTTTTTTACTAAATTTTTGATCAAATAAATGTAGCCTTGGTGAGCAGAAGAGACTTCTTTCAAATATATAAAAAAATCAAATGTATGAAAATCTTAAGCAAATTTTAAACTGTAATACTATTTTACTATATTTCTGTTTTACTATATAATTTTATCAAATATATGCAGCCTGTATGAGCTTCAAAGACTTCAAAAACATTACAACATCTTACCAACACAAAACTTTTAAACGGTGGTTTAAGTTTTATTGTCTGAACACCAAGAGCATAAAGGATCTTATGCAGAACCTTGTAAGTTGTAATAAGCGTTATAGCACGTTATAATATGATGTTATTTATCCTCAACTGGTGTCATCCCTTCACAGAGCTCAGATATGACCTGCCAGCATCTTATAAGTTCCACAAAAAGAAGTCGGTAAGTGAATGTTTTGCTACAAACCTGTAAGCTAATTGCCACAAAAATATTGCACTTGACACATGTAAACACATTTTCTCAGACTTGACAAAGACAAACTAGTAACATGTTTTTTTTTTTTTTCTATCTTATTATTTTAGGTTGATATTCAAGTGGACTTCATTCGATTTACTCCAACATAAACGGCAAAAAGGAATTTGTGTTGCTTTGCAACATTTTTATATATATATATATATATATATACTGTTCTTCAAAGTAAATTTTATAAATGACCATACTGCATCATTTTTGGGTGGATACCACAGAAACACCAGAGTCTCTGTAGGATTTACAAACACGCTTGTTGAAACTTTATTTAAATTTGTGCTTTTCACATTTTTGCCAGCATACACAGTTAATAAAACATCACAATAACTAAAAAAACAATAAATTACACATCACACATATTTATAGTAAAATCCTGGGTCTTACAAATACAAAATCATCCAAATAAATATAAATAATACTAAGGAATAAATACATTTCTTGAATTAAAACACCAAAACGGATTATTTTTTTGCTGCAAAATAGTAGTCTACAAAAAGGTACTGTGCAAATAGTGAAGTGCTGTAATCTATTGTGCTGTTCAGTATATATTTGGAAACAGCCCTTTATCTTCCAGCACAGATAACATACAAACTGTGTCTCACTCATTATCAGTGTTGAACAAATATATCATTTCGACATTACACTCACCAGATTAGAATAGCGGGGGTCCAAAAGTCTGACATTTTCAGGATAACAATTCAAGTGATGAATTCGAAGAAAATGAAGAATTCTTATTGGTTTGTCTCCCTTTTGGAGCTGATGTCAACAAAACCTGATGCCCATGTTCTCCAGCATGATTTGAGATGCTCCAAAGAGCATCTTGAGCTTCAGTGGACAAGCATCTAACCATCTATACAAGGAGTCGTGTAATTCATGTGACAAATTTGCAGGGTTCCTACGCAGTATGGAATTTGATTTTTAGTCATTTCCAGGTCTGGATAAGTATGGAAAAAATCTCTCTTTCCATATCTTTTTCCTTGTTTACTATATATAAAATTGATCATTTCCAAAAATAAATGTCATATTTTTCATCATTTGGAGCAGCAGTCTGTGCAGCCATAAGTATAGTAAATGTGCCAGTGGATTTTTCACTTTGTAGGTATTTACAGATAATGCTGAAAATAACCTAAAATAATGTTATGTGGATGAATACGTTATGGGTGAGGATGTGAATGGAGAGATAAATGGTAGCAAACATTATACTGGATAGCATATTCTGCTATTATTTTGAAAATATTTTCTCATACATTTCTAATGTAATCTCTGAATAATATTTTAAAGACAATATTATTTTTTACATTTAATAAAGTAATCAGTGACATTATTTAGTGATACTATTTTGTATTCATTTTAACGTATAATATGAATTTGAAATATTCCACAGGTTTGCAGTCAGTGTGATTGTGTGTTAAAATAATCAAATGTGTACATGGCTACAATATTCCACCAATTATTTGGCAAAATAATAGCATACATGCGTAGTAAACATGTTAAAAGCTGGATTTTTAATTCATTTATCAGATGAAGTGGAAAAACCTGAAAAAAAAAAAAAATCAACAGAAATGTCTGGAATAGTATTGAAAAATCCACAGAAATATATACCGGAAAAGTATGGAATTTTTAAATGGAAAATATGTAGGAACCCTGAATTAGTGCCGAATCTGAAGTATTGCCTATTCACTTTAAAACATTTAACAAATAAATAAAAGTGTTCTCAGACTTTTAGACCTCACTGGAAGTGGCTCCACAGACAGTGACTGCTGTGATTTCACACGCTGAACACACAAACGCAGCTGATGGGAGGTTTCCCACAATCTCCCAGCAGCCGATCTCAGGGTCGTACCTCTCTATACTCTGTAGATACGTCCCTTAGAGTATGAATACCCACCTGCTACATAGATGCACCCGTTTATAACGGCTGATCCGCACTCCATCATCGCACACATCTGTCTCCACTCATCTCGCTCGGGATCATAGCAGTCTATGATGGTGGTCTGACTGCCAACCAAATAAAGCTTATTGTCTAAGGAGACCGAGCAAAGGCCGTACTCTGAAAGTAAAGAGTCTTGATGCGTTTTTCAAATGACAAGAGATTTCTGTTGCTGACGTAGAAGGCAGCAACCAACCCATGGTGGTTGTAGCCTAAAGATCTGAACCGTTTAACTTATCTAATACAAAATGTAGGTGGCTCACCAGGATGTGGACATATCGTTGGGATGCTCCACTCACTGATATCTGGCCGGTAAGTCTGAATCTTCTCATAAGTGCAGGTTCCTCTGTACCCATAATGCCCTTTTGTTACAGACTCTGTCATTCACCACGCAAGCAATTGCATTTCCCACACCTTTAAAGTCAAAACAGAAAGACGATGAACTTCCATCAACAGGCATTTTAGGTCTTTGATATTTGAAAGATTTTATGTTTAAGACAATGCATTTTCCAACATTTATGTTTTAAAAAGCTGAAATCCTGGTGTAGCTTACGATTTTCATGCATTTGATTTTTTTATATTTTTGAAAGAAGTCTCATGCTCACCAAGGCTACATTTATTTGATCAAAAATGTAGTAAAAAAAAAAAGTAAATATTGTGAAATATTACAATTTAATAGAACTGTTTTCTATTTGAATATATTTTAAAATGTAATTTATTTCTGTGATGCAAAGCTGAATTTTCAGTATCATTACTCCAGTCTTCAGTGTCACATGATCCTTCAGAAATCACTCTAATATGATTATTTGCTGCTCGAGAAACATTTCTTATTATTTATCAGATGAAAACAGTTGTGCTGCTTTATATGTGTGGACAACTTGATAAAAAAAAATTTCAGGAATGATGTATAGAAAGTTTAAAGTTTAATAGAAAATTATAAAATAGGAATAGAATTAGAAAGTTTAAAAGAACAGCATTTTTTAAACATTGTAAATGTCTTTATCGTCACTTTTAATCAGTTTAATGCATCCTGAATAAAAGTATTAATTTCTTAAAAAAAAAAAACCTTCAAACATTTGAACATTAATGTACATATGAAAATATTTGCCAGAAATTTAAAATGCTATTTTTATGTTTATATTATATTTAGTGCTGTCAAACGATTAATGCAATTGCAAATGACAGGACCGCATTTAAGTATGCAGATTTGTACTTTTGTAGATGCCAGTCTTCGATTTTGTAGATGCCTCTTAACCGAAAGTTGCTTCTTTCCACACATTGAGGTTTTCTGTAGCTAATATCATTAATAGCTTTTGGAAACCCACCTCTAGGAACTCCTCCTGAAGTGGGAGTGCTTCAAAGCGACTCGGTATGATCCTCAAAGCCTCGCACTGCAAATCAAAGCACATGTGAAGCTCGGCGAACGAGTGCATCCCGAGCAGTTATCAACATCCAGCAGACGAATCAAAAAGTCCTCGCAGGCTTTCTTGAGCGAGTTGAACTGCAACAGGTCTGTGGCTTCCAGAAGACTTTGGATGTTGTTCTGGGTTATGCTGATCTTTGAAGTGTAGACGTAGCTCACCAAAGCTTCCAGAATCTCTGCGTTTATGCAAGGTAGGTTGATGGTGTCGTTCAAACATTCTCTCATGTCTAAGGTGAACATTACCTTGAAATAGGATCTGTGGGCTGATAGGACAACCTTGTGGCAGTGGCAGAGCTGTCCGGATGGAGACTGCAGGGTGACGTCCGTGAACAGACCGCTGCTGTGAAACTCATGAAGAGCTTCCAGCACCTCGGAGGAGTGAGAGGCATCGCAGAACTCGGAGTAACCGCTTTGAGCTTTTCCTGACATTGCAACTGGAAAGAGAAGATTTTTAAATGAGTTTTCAAGTGTCCTAACAAAATTAACTTATTCCTACATTTTTCCTGATGAAACTTCATTGAAGTTGTAGGAATTTAGTAAACAAACATTAGAAAATGAATGTTTCTAGTTGCGCTCAGTTCTAAGATTGTTTATTGTCCATGACAATAATATATTATTATTATATATATGATACATGTATGATATAATGGATTATATGTAAATTAAAATATCACTATTGTAAATGTTCTACAGAAACACAACAAAGCCAGATGCAGTTAAAACAAAATTCATATTTTAGGCACCATTTTTATCATGTTCATTTTAGTAAATATTTCTCATAATTATTTTTGAAGGCAACTTTCTGTATAGACACAAACCTGGTTGAATATTTTCACAAATGTTGACTTACCGGACATTACACTTTTTAAGCGTTTTTAGCAAAATGTAAACAGTAAAACTATTTTACACAACCAAAAAAAGGACAAATGTAAAATGTAAATGGTAGCATACAAAATATGAAATTGTTTTGGCATAGTAACTTTTCTATTGTCTAAAACTTCTTAAACGAATCTCACATCTTGCCCCCCAAACTTGATTAGTTGACTCTTGTCTGAACGTATACTAGTATGGTTTTTGGGTCCATCTGATTACCTAACAAGTTTTACAAAAATATATAAATTTTAATATTGAGCACAAAATTCACAAAAAAATCTAAAGACAATTTGGAACCAGTGTCATTTAGCAACATTGAGATACTATTAAAGTTAAATAGTAAATACTTTTAATTAGTTGTTTTTTTTTCGGTTTTCATTTGAATTTAAGTTTTTTCTAAATTTACTGTTGTTTTTAATGTCTATATAGTTTGTATTTTTTTTTTTTTTTAGCTTTTTCGGCATTTCAGTGTTATTTTAGTACATAAAGTGAAAGTGAAAAAGAGAAAAGATGCCTCTGCAACTAGCTGAAATAAAAATACGTTTTTAAATATATATTTAATTTCAGTTTATTTTTATCCATTTTATTTTAAACTAAAATATTTTAATTGTTTTAGTTTTAATAAACTATAATAATCCTGTTTTGTACTTCGTTTTTGCAACCAACCCACAATAACACTGCTAATAGTAATGATGAAAAAAAAAAGATTAACGCATTTTAACTTCTGCCTCAAACAGTAGCCTAATAGCTTTTGTGACAACTAGCCCCTATGTAAAAACAAGCTTACCTGGCCCGTATGACTGATTGACACTCGTCCTTTCTTCGCTGGAGAAGTTTTATCCCCAACAGTGTGCCTTGTGCTCGGTCAGATCTGGTCAGATCAGACATATGGCCCCTGTATTTAGCGTCAGCTACTAGACTAGAGAATGTCGAGCTCCTATTTTAGTATCTGTGTAAAGCAGGGGACTCGCTGCTGTCACCCGCCACTAACTGAGGTGACCAAACAAGCATCCAGTCTTCAGAAATACATGTTGAAAAAGCCGCAATTTAGATTTTTCAATCAACTGAGACATAATACGTTTTCACGTTTCAGTTGTCATGGCAGTGTTGAGCGTGTAATCCTAATAAGAATTAAAGCAGTTGCATAATAACGCCTGAGGGTAACGGTACCAAGGGCGGCCGAACACCAAGAATTAATCCATTCTAAACGCTTCACCGTTTTCTGAACGCAAGAGCGTTTGTTTATAGCTTAGCGACGGTGAATTATTGGTGTGTAGTTGCCATTAAGTCCACAGGGTACAGTAAAAGGACAGAAATAACTCACGGTTACCTTGGAAACAGTGTGAAGGTCATTCGATGAAGCGAGCGCCTTTTCCTGTGTTTGATAGAGACGATTTTAAAGCATATTTCTGTGAAGTGACTTCAAGTTAATAATGTTTAAGTGCTAATAATTCAAGTATTTAAATGGACTGCATTCTGAAATCTCAAGATAAATAAACTTATTAATCCCAAAATAACCAATATAAAATGCTCCATACAAGTTCTTATCAGACAAACCTTTCAGCAACATTCTGGGAATGTTACACGAACCGTATTCTAATGTTATGGAAAGGTTGTTTGTTTGGATGCATTTATGCCATCTGAAAGGTAACGGTTTAATTTGACATTGCAAGACTTGTGGTCAAGGTCATGAAACTATGACACTAAAGAAAGAGTGTTTTGAAAGTGTATGTAATACAGACAATTTTTGTCATGTGATTATAAGCAGGACGTGTCCATCATATATATCTGACTGTAAAGAGAAGCACCAAGTATGTGGAAAAAGGGAGATTATGAGTTTACACAAAAAATATTTGGGGAAATGAAAAATAGCTAGTGTGTGTATGTGTGTATACATATATATACACA